CACCCAAATAACAATTAGGTGTAGAGTGATGATGGTATGATTACCGTCATGTGCTTATCCTACTACAATTCTACAGAAAATGGATCAAAACCTTAAGCAATTCCAAAAAGGGTCTTTTGTCACTTTTTAAAATAAGCTTTTTGCCATCTAAATCGTGAAAAAATTCCTATTCGTAAGTCTTGGTATGTTTTAATGAGGAAATCCGCCATGTTACGAGCTTATATGACCAATGAAAATGATCTCCATGTGTCGATACTTTAACAGTTGAGTCCAAATGAGTTGCCTGTAATTGATAACATTGATCAACCTCTGAGCGAAAGTTCGCCCGATCAAATTTTATCTTAATGCGGCACTTTATAGGTCATAGATTAACGACATTTCGTAGACGTAACACAACATCACTCTGCCAACAGTTCAGATGCAAAAAACCTCGTGCAGATCAAATGAATTAGTCTGTTTCACTACACAGAGTAAGTATTCGTGGTAAAAAGTGGTGGTGGGTGCTCTTCTCTTATATGTCTCTGATAATAGATATGGTCAGTTAACATTTCGGCGAATGATTGCTAGAGTTTACCTAAAAACCGTACACGAATCAACAGTCGGTCGTCGTCTTCAGCTTCTAGTATACCAAATGAAGTCAGAAAAGATGGCTATAATCCTGTTTAATATGTTAATTATCTGTCATACCTAATGTGCCCAGTGAATTCGTTTAAGTACACCCCTTTAACTTTGTTACTGAGTTTGTTTTTGAGCTTGCTTTTTCCTTATGACAAACATACATATTATAAGTACGTGTTTATATGGTAAATAAACGTTACTACGCATAAATGTAATTGGATTTCGTTGAAGCGTTAATGGGTGAATGAAACTTGGTACACGTGTTCCTTGGCAAAAAGTGAGGACTAGTTCATAGATGGGCGTAATCGGACACCTGCCTTACCGCGCCTACTTCCCATACCTATAACACAATTTTAAATACCATCTGATTTTTTCACTTTTCAGTTACAAATCAAGCACCAATTAACACATCGGGGGAAAAAATTGCACGAATATTTCCTTTAAGGTATGCCATCTGAGGTCTAAAAATTGTTAGATTCGGACCATAACTATTCAAGCCCTCAGATACCTATGGCTGACTTTTTCCGAAAATATCAGTCAATCTGTGAGATATACATATAATTGAAAATCGGAGAAAATCTGTTTTTGATAATAATATAGCCTTATGTCAAAAATGGGTTGAATCGGAAATTATTTCCCTTAGCTCCTATATACATAATATTATATAATATAACGATTTTCGAACTTCTGGCTGATTTCATACCACATATATCGGCCAATGTGGGAGCTATTTTAATGAAATTGAGCGTATTTATCTGATAACAGTGTATCTTTTGCGAAAAATAAATAAAATCAGGCAAAAACGTGCCTTGCCTCATATAACTGATTTTTAGGATTTTGAAACGTCCGACTGACCTCACTCCATATATGTACATGTTTATATTTACCATATATATTTATTAAATTGCTTAAAAATAAGCTCTCAAGTATACCTGAGTAATGTCATGATATTAGTAAAATTTTCGCTGACGGGAAGTAAAATATGGTAGTAAAACTAAGTGAGTCTATGACCTTCAAAATAAGTTAATATGATACCAAAAGTTTTTGCCTACACCTAAAGGTATTTTCCCTGAACTTAGCCCTTCCTTACTTGTTTAATATAAAGTTTTCCTAACACCTAAAGGTATTTTCCTTGCTTTGATCTTTGCAAGATGCACGAGTATAAATTGTTCGGTTACCTACACACTTAGCCCGTCCTTACTTGTTTAACATTTAACAATAATGTACCATTGGTGTTTTAAAGGTCATTAAAACCCTCCTCCTCCTTAAACTCACTTTGAGCGCATAGTGGGCGAGCTCAAAGATAGTATTGTGACTCTACTGTCGAAGTGAATGCTGACTTCCCTGAAAGCGGCTGCAGATAATAAATATAGACCCGGTTATCGCAAAATCGAAATGAATTTAAACGTTTTGTACAAGTTGAACAAAATTAAGAGATGATAGACTTATGGCCAATAGCCTTTTTATAATACCAAGCGTATGACAGCATCGATGAGGCAGACTACATCCACTACAACTAACTTTCCAGGGACTACTTTTAGACGACGAACATGGAAATCCACCAAAAATATTTCATATAACCGTTGCAACAACATTTAATGCTCCTCGGCAGAAGCAATATAAAATCATAAGCCAATAGTGCCTGGAATAGACATCAGACTAGAATTATTTACATCGATTCCTAATAAGATATTCATAAAGAATACACCTCATGACACGCTGCATACGGATTAAAAAATTAGGTCGCTAGTTACCGAGGCGACCGTTGTGCAACCAATATCTCGCATCCACAAACAAATGTCTGCCTATCACATCACAAGGCATATTGCTTTCGCTTCACTATACTAATAATTAACCTTTTAGGAGTCGGGACCACACCCACTTTAAAAAATTAATTTAAACTGCAGATGCCCCTCCCTAACGTGATCCTGTAAACCGAATAACAGTCTTGTATCTTACTATGGAGCTTAGTTATGGCAATTTATTTGGTTTTGATTAATGGAGTTTTGTGGCGTGGCAGTTATCCGATTACTCCCATCTGCAATACCAACCATCTTACGGCACCAAGAAACATGTGTACCAAGTTTCATAGAGATATCTCAATTTTTACTCAAGTTACAGCTTGCACAGACGGACGGACAGACAGTCACCCGGATTTCAACACGTCTCTTCAGCCTGATCATATAGTTTTTGAAAATTGTAGTTATGTTTACTACATAATCCACACCATTCTCATCGCGCCACTCGAAATTTTCAAAATCGGAAAACTTGTCATTTTGCAATATTCACATTAATTCATTGGCTCTGGCCGCATCTACACCGAATAGTCGGATTCAAATTGTTGGATGATTTTTTTATTGTAAGTATTTCTTCAAAAGTAAATTGGCCAAATTTTTTCATGCAAAATACAGTCCGAAAATTACAAGTTTACATTTTCGGGAAGCGTTTGGGAAGTAGGAATGGAATGGAGCATGAGCCGCACAAACCGACTATTAAAATTCAAAAGGAATGACATAAGAACTCTGATAGGAGTACTAACAGGTCACTATCTAATTGGTAGACATGCCAACAGGCTAGGTGTACCTTACAACGACTATTGTAGAAGCTGTCAGGAGGTAGAAGAAGAGGAGACGATAAAACATCTTCTATGCGAATGTAAGGCGCTATACAGGAAAAGAATCACAATGATGTATCGGAAGTTGCTCATATAAAACTATTTATACTGATGAACTTCATCAGAAGCACAGGTTGGTTCAGAAAGAAGACAGTAGGGTGAGGGAATATTAGTCCTGGTATCACAATAGGCCTAGGTGCGTCGTCAGGCAGCCACTCTACCAACCTACCTACCTTGGGAAGTATTTTGACAAAAATCATAAAATGAAACAAAAAAAAAAATAAAAATAAAAAAACAATGTAGTTCAACATAATTTAAAATATTTATGTTTAGTAGTTTAGTTAATCTAAATGTTAACTCAGTTTTCAAGTGTATTAGTATTGACAATTTTAAATAATCTTAAAATTTATTTACCATCAATTTATAAGAATACAGCATTTATGCACAATTATTACAATTATAAATATTATATTAATGTATCAATAGACAATGTAAGTTCTTAAAAAATATTTCGCAACAAAAATAGTAAATATTACTTCGAATTTTCAGTGTTTTTTCGAAGATAAATTTTTGTAAATTAATAAGTTAGAAATGTTCGTAAATAAATAAAAAAAAAAAAAAATTACTATACGTTCTTTATAGACATTCAAATGAAGGCTATTGCTCTTGAGCAGTTTTCTTGTTTTGACAGTTCTACCTACTATAATACGGGTTGATAGTATTCGATAATATTAACAATTGGCTGTGGAGGGGGTTAAAGTGTTTTAACTAAGTCAAGTTATAAGCCGTAATAGGAGTATATATATGTATATATGCACATCTACAATACTTATGGCAAAGACTTAAGTTTGAAAAATACTCGATACTAGGAGTTTTAGGTCAATCTAAGATTTAGAAAATTGTTTTGTTCTTTAGTTAAACAACACTTAATAATCCTAGAAACATTATTAAATTAGTGGAATAGCGAAATATGTTTTATCTTTCCAATTCGCTGTAGTTTCGAAGTGTTCGTCATCTTCATCATGTACAACTTTAAACGCTCTGGAAACTACTTATGTATATTTTTTAAATCGTACGACGATGGTTCTCGAAAACTATCGCAAGTATTCATTTGCAATTTTAACTTTACAGTAACATTATTTGATAAATATTACGTAGGTTTTTTTTTATTATTGCAGTTGTTTTTTCTAAACAAGTTGGCGAAAATTAATGTAAAGCTTTAAAGACATACTTTCCTTACTAGTAAGTTTCATGCATTTTTATTTCAGATAGTACATTTTTCCAAAAATCACCGTCGCCTTCAAAGGTCGTCTTGAAATATTTGTATCACAATTTTAATATAAAAAAAATTTTGTACATTAAAGAGTTCTAAAAGAGCAGAATTCGATTTACTCTTGCTTACTGTTATTATTTAATGCTGTAGACTAGCTTAACCCATTTTTAGCTTAAACACAATATGGGCGACGGGCGACGACGAATATTCGTCGTACTCGGCGACGCCGTCAGTGATTAAAACACACGATTGTATATGCAGAAACCAATACGCAACGACGGCGAATTTTGACCACCATGACGATTTTTGAGATAGAGCTATTTCTAATTTTATCGCCGACCGCAGCGGCAAAAACGGCATCACCATATCAAGGAAATATTATTTTCAGTAAAAATCATAAGAATTAAAAAAAAAATATTGAAGAAAATGTCTGCTTTGGAAATATTAAGATTGTTTGTCTGGTTTCGTCATTTATTGTGATATTTTTGAGCGCGGAATACACATTAGCTGCGACGAAAATCGTCCGTATTGTGTTTTACACGGCGAATATTCGTCGTCGCCCGTATTGTGTTTAAGCTATTAAGTGGATTTATCCCAGTTCCTTTTGCTGCTATACTACTATATAGCAGTAGCAACATTTCTCTCCTACATATATTCCTCAGGAAAATTTACCACCACTGTTAAGAAATAATATGCTGTTTCCTGATATTTAAAATTTATGCAGACAAATAAGAAAGTATATTTTACATTTTATTTGTAGTAGCACTTGGATTAATACAATAAAACTTCTTTGTAGAAATGAAATTACAACACAGTGCAATTTATAAAGCCAACTGAAAATTACACAGCTTTATATTATATACCATATTTATAATAATTGCAATATGAATAGATAATCAAGCATTTCGATAATAACATCTAATGTTTTCTAAGTTTAGGAAATGTAAGGTATCATAGAAATTTGTAAGAAAACTCAAATAATTGTAAAATTGTTAAGAAAAGTTCACACAAGATACTTTTAAGAATTCTTAAACAAAATATAAACTAACCCAAAAGAAAGAAAACAATGGCAATGTAAATAATAAAGTACGAGTAATGAATATGTTATTTGGCCTTATGGTTACTAATTGTTCAAAACATGGTGTTACAGGCGCGTTGCCTATATTGAGGTTCAAGTTATAAATATATTAATTGCTTAATATAACTTTAGATTCATTTGGCAATGCAACACCTGATAGGCCATCATATATATAATATATACAAGTATATAGCGCACATTAGATATACTGACATTTTGCTGACGTCTATATCCGTTCAACTTATCTCCCAACTAATTTGTTGCTCCGAGTTTCAATTTTTAAATCAAGTGAAATAAAGCTACTCATCTGGGGTCAAGGAATTTTGTCGAATTTAATTTTTTTGAAGAATTGTGTTAAGGTTTCTATTGATACCAAATTTTCAGTATCTCCTGCCGTATTTCATGAATTAACAGGATGGATCGTCAAGTATTCAATATATATAAATATATATGCATGTATTGTATATATGCATAAAACTTAAGGCGTGTCAAACACCTGCATTGTGTCATTTAGCATTATTCACCACCATTGGTCCACAGATGTTTGTGTATTTAAACGAACTATCATTTAGGTTGCACTGGCTTTGGAGAGATCTTGTTCGTTGACGTTTAGAGCGAACTTCTTGGCTGGTGGTTGCATATCATTTTGATCAGCATCTAAGTCAATCTAAAAAAAATAATAATAAAAATAAAATAAAATTAAAAATAATTTTTACCCAGCATAGTATTGAAGCTCACGCTCACCTCCATTATAACGTTATCCTTCTGTATATTAGTATTGCTATTATTAAACTTGGATTCGTCTTTGGTGGACTTTGTTACGGTTGCTTCACTTGAGGTTGTATTATCCGATTCATCAGCAATAACAGACGAAACGACACTAATGCCAGTGGTTGTTGCATTTGCCGCTGACAGCTCTCTTTTCTTTGAGTCGTCTTTTTTGTTGTTGGAGTTAGTTGATTCACTTACAGCTGAGGCAGCAGTGGCAGTAGCTGCTGCTTCTTCTTTCTCTGCTTCATACTTTTTTAGTTCCTGGTCTAAATTGTAACGCCGACGATTGCTTACGAAAAAGGTACGCACGTGAGCTTCAGTCTTCGTGCCAATAGTTTCGGCTATTGTCTGTGAGTGATATTTTTATATAGATATTTTAATTTAGGTAAAACACAGATTGCTGATTGTTATGGTGTGGAATTACCTGAAAGTCTTTGCCATATTTACGCACACCTTGTACGACGAGCAGAGCTTCATCATTGGACCATCTTGAATTGATGCGATTCGTGTTTTCAATTGGGCGCATATCGTCTAACCCCTCTGAATTCTTACGTTTCAACGCGGATATATTCTGTTTGTTTAGCTGAACCTGAAAGCCATTTAATATAAAATTAAGCGGTTGCAACACATGTCATTACGGCCAATGATTGAAGCTGAATGATGAATGATGAGATGAATCTAGCTATGCGTCCTGTGATCTGAGCTCATGAAACGAATTTGAATATATGAACCAACATCTTCCTGTTTTATAGGGCAATTGACATTCGTTTTTGTTTTAGTTAACTACCTATCTATACAAAGGAGTATTTTTTGAGACTTTACAAAATGTGTATCACTGTTCTGAAAAGTTACAATGGAATTGAATTGCAGCATCCGATATACAGTTACTGGCAATAAAATATAATCAAAAATATGGCTCCGAAATAATTAACAATTTATATTATTTGCCCGATAAATTTCGTATACGTTTTGCCTGTTATTGATTCCAACAAAATTTATCTTTTAAAACGCCATGATGATTTTACTTTTATCTTCGTGTTCTGTTTGTAGAAGAGATGGGCAGAGGAAAGCACTGCACAGCGGCAGAGCTTCAGCTTATAAACAATTTGCAAAATAACAGCTATACCCAAAGGATGATTTCAAAATTTTAATAAGATCCCAAATATTTGTGTTTACTGCTTTGAAATCTCCATAAAAATGCGAATTAAGGGGACGATCACGAAAAACGATGTTTCAGGAAGACAATTACTAAATAGAGATTTTATCAAAACGCGATCCTAAGAAGTCCTCTCTAGCTTTCCAAAGAGAATGGGGTGTAGAAACTTCTGCTAGAACTGTTACGCGCCGCTTTTTAGAAAATAATCTCTTCGAAAAGTGGTCCCGGAAAGTCTCAATGTTGACAAAAAGACAGCGAAACAATCGGATCGCTTTTGCTTCAGCGCTATTACTACCTTAGAACTTTAGAAGATGTAATGTTTTGCTGAATGGAAAAAGCCTTTAGTTTGGCAGTTCCAGCATGACAATGGCCCGATGCATACCTCGGGTGTGGTCAAGACTTGCCTACAGGATAAAGTAATCGATGTTATGACTTGGTCGTTGCAATCTCCGATTTAAATCTTATAGAAAACCTGTGGAAGATTGTAAAGGAAAAGTTGGAACCCATTAAACCATGAAATAAGGAGAAACTAAGGGAAAAAGTTCAGGAGGGTATTTAATGCCGAATTCAGTCTGTAATTGGAATTCATGCCAAAAAGGTGCGCTGTCGTACTCGCAAATAAAGGTTTTGCAACAAAATTCTAATTAAATGCATTTTTTTATTATAATCGTCTGCTAGTTACGAGTTTTAGTTCCATGATTCTATATTATTGTCAATCGAAATTCCTCACTGTTTCTTTGAAAGTTGACTGCTTATAAAAGTTAAATTTTTATTGAGTTCTTTTTGCTTTGAAATGTTTAAAATAAATTTTATTAACGACTAGCTGTACCCGGCGTGCCCTGCTACGCCTCTTTTTATACTTTCCACATGTTGCTACATAGTATAATAGTTTTGTTCACGTAACGGTTGTTTGTATCACTTAAAACTAATCGGTCTACAACTACGCCTAATTCTTATAAAAAACAATTTTAAACTTCTGATACTGTCACTTCACAATATGGAAATTGAGAGCCAATTTATTGGGTTAAAATTGTACAAAAATAATGTCATCCACCTTGTTCAAAAATTTCTTGCCGTAGATATGTGTTGTTACTGTTATTTTTTTTAAGTAATAAAATATTCAAAGGATTCTTTGAACGAATTTTTACCACATGCAAAAAGATAAAAAGTATATAGGTCCGTCACGATTTTCTTTAATATGTGTTCACCAAATCACCAAATGGCGGGTTTTTAAAAAAAAAAAAAAAAAAAGGATCCCCTTAGGGTTGGTTGGGACCTTCTGCAGGAATAAACGAATAAATGTGCAAATTTTCACGTCTTTCAGTGCTGTTTTTCATTTTTATATGTAAATATATAAGATAAAAACGTTAACTTTCGGTTGCAAGCTATAATACCCTTCACAAATACAAAAGGTTCCTTAGAAGAACTTGATTCCCATCGTCCACTTAGTATGGCAGCTATATGCTATAGTGATTCGATCTGAACAATTTCTTCGCAGATTCCATTATTGCCTTAGATAATGATCCGTTCTAAATTTCGTGAAGATATCTCATCAAATGAAAAAGTTTTCCATGCAAACACCTGGTTCCGATTGTTCAGTTTGTATGGCAGCTATATGCTATAGTAGTCCGACATCGGCCTTTTCAACAAATGAGCAGCTTCTTGGTGAGAAACGGTCACATTCTAAATTTAAGATCGATATCTCAAAAAACTGAGAGGCTAGTTTGCGTATATACAGATGGACAGACAGACGGGCATGGCTAAATCAACTCAGCTCACCATTTATGTATATATTTTATAGGTATTTCCTTCTACGTGTTATAAACTTCGTGGCAAACTTAATATACCCTGTTCAGGGTATAAAAAATTGTTTGCTCCTAAGAACTGCGGTAACACTTTTTTTGCAAGTTGTGAATAAAATTTGAATTCTATTTTATTGACAGTAACTGTATAGCGAGATATTCAGACTTAACTAAAAATTTGACTATTTCTAATATGCATGAAGAGATGCAAGAGATGCTTCAAGGCGAAATATATAAATATAGTTTTAACTAAGCATTATACGTTCTATTTTTATGTATGTGTAAGTGATTCCATAACGAACTCTTGTTCCTTGGCTTAACAATCTAGAAAAATCTGTTCACAACTAATCCGTTAGCTTATTATGTTGTTGTGGTTTTAGCATCAGAAACAGTCCGGTTTACGTGACCGGAACGGACCCGCATTTTCTTCCAACCAAACAATGTAAACTCGTATTTGAGGAATGTGTTCTGTTGTTACTACAAAAACAACAGTTACTATGGCCTAGCGCCGTATAAAAGGGTTTGCTTGCGATTGCGATAATTTTTTTAGTGTTGTCATAACCATAAACTCGTGTGTTTTAACTATTAGTAACACGAAAAAGTGGTGAATATATATTTTAATGTATGTATGAATGTAATTTTATAAGCAATAGTTTTAAAATGGAAATTGCAAAGTCCAATTTCTTACTTGGCTCAATAGCGAAACGATTTCCCTGTCTGTATTAGCGAGCATTTCGTCTTGATTGTCATTGGCTCTGGCCAGCGCCACAATATCGTCGTGATTGATGTACATGCCGCGAGGTGGTTTGCGTTTATGTCTTTCAGCATTGCGATCGCGCGACCGCTTACCAAAATATGGACCAGAAGTGGGACGCTTATTACCGGTACGTCTACAGCACGCCATTGGGTTTTTTGGTTTATTCGATACACAACAACGATGACATACAATGATAAAGAAGGAATTTAACACGTTTTAAATTCAGGAACGTAATTGTTATTGTTTTATATATGAATATGTACCTCCAATGGTGGTGGCAACTTGAACATAGTTTACCGTGTGGCGATGCATTAAGCACACTACATGGAACTCCACAATTGGTACAGCAACCGCTCAAACCTGCTGAGTCTGCATTGGAACATGACGAATCGGTATTCGCCGTATTGGGCGGCGTCTGTTGGCGTTGATGTTTAATACCAACTACCAGAGCACCAACATTGGCAACTAGGCCACTGTCTCGTCCTTGGGCGATCATATTTAACGAAACAGAAGCCGCTGTGTTCTCACTGTCGGCTTCGCCACCGCCACCGCCAATGCTGCTACCAGAAACACCACCGTTTTCGCTCAATTTATTTAATTTGTTCGGTAAATCGGCAGAAGTGGCACAGCCTATTTTCATTTGTTCTTGAAACCCGGAAGTTGAGGCCAATGCTTGATCCTAAAGGCAATTTTAGGTAATTTGTTGAAATGTTGTTGGTAGGTATTGTGTGTCACGAGTGTGCGTGTTGCGATAAAGGAAAGAGAGAGAGAGAGAGAGAGAGAGAGAGAGATAAAGAGACAACGTTTAGGCCGGTTAACTTTGGCATAATTTAAATGTAACTAGTATCTGCAACAAATATAAGCTACTAAGGTCATAAAGAAGTTATCAAACAAAATTATTGCATGTGTCCGAAAACCAAATACCAGCACAAAGTGCATGGTTAAATTACGGCACGCCACGAGCAACAACAATCAGACAAGGACTCGACGCGGCATCAATATACATACATACATTTGCATAGATCTGACCTAAACACAGTGAAACAAATTTTCTACCACATTTAGGGTATTCGAATTTTATTGATACATGTAAAAATAGATTTGGCAAGAATTGCGAACCAGATTTTCGAAAGAAACAAGTTTCAATAAAAGTATATGTAATGAGATGATATGGAATGATTAATATGGGAATGAAAATCCTAAATGAAAAGTATAAATACTATTATAAAGTACAGACTTCCATTAAAATATGCATTTTTAAAATATATGAGCTAATTTTTTGACAAGTCCGAATTTTAAACATGAATAAAAAAAGCTGTATTGCTCATAGTACATAAAGTAAAATATTTGGTGTGCAAGAAATAAAATTATTGCTTTCAAATATTTCCTACACAGATATATAGTTCCCTGCTAAGCTAAACATTTAATTGTTTCAATAATCATTGGATAACTAATCATAAGCAAACTGGTTGAAACAAGTTGAACTCTTAATTATAAATCATACTTTCACGGTAAAGTTATGATGTTCCACTAAAAAAAATACTTTATAATTATAAAGCAAGCAATACAATGTAAACGTATGTACTATAAAGATATTTATGAAAAGATTTGAAAATGAAAGAAACACATGAATTTTGTTTAATCTTCTCGCAGACAATAAATGGTTTATTGATAATTATTTATGTACTATGTATGTATATATACTATTCTATCATTTACTGTTAGCAGAAGTTCTATAAACAGTCTTTCATTATGAATAAGGTCTTAAAATCTAAAATTAACTAACAATAAATACATACAATTAAGTAGTGTGCTATATCTAGCATAAAATTTTGGATGCGATGAGTTGAGAGTTTAGACCACAAGTCAATGCAATATGTAAGGAACACACCTCGTCTTCATGTCTTTTTTAAAACTGCTACTAATAATATATCTGATTTTTGCAATGCAATGTTGTGGTCGAAACGTTATTTGTTTTGAACTTAAATAAATAATTTTTATGTTATGGCTATAAGTATATTAATTTAATTTGTTGATGAGTCGAATTTTTTTATTTGGAAAAATATTAACATCAAATAGCTGCCTTAAGCTCCCTGAATTAATCTGCTTATGTGATACTATCAAACGATTGCCTCTATTTAAAAACATAATAACTGATACTTTATGGTAGTTATATAAATAACGTTATAAATAAATGTTCGTGTTAAATTAAAATTTAAAAACGAAATAAAAATTTAATATCTAATTAAACACAACTAACATTTAAATATCTTTCATTATTTTTATTTACTAAATATAGAAATTTGCATTTATTGTTAAACCACTGTAAAACTAGAGAAACCAATTTCAATTTGAATCTGACCATGCCTAATATACGAATATTTTTAACTAATAATTACCTTGTCATCTGTATCAGATTCTTCATTGCTGCCGTTCTCACTGCCATTTTCTGAACCTTCTTTACTTGCTTTTGCTTTTTCTTGACGATCCATAACGCTTTGTCTGTGGCGCGTTTTCTTCCAGGAGTAATAATATTTCACCAGACTAGCTATTGATTTGTCGGGCAACTGTTGAGGATATAATTGGAACAGCAATTACAACATTACGCTACAGATTGCTTGGCCAGATATTAAAATTACCATTTGTCGGATGCGATGAAAACTCTTGCCATGGAATTGAAAAGCCTGTTCGAATAGCACTTTGTCCTCTACTGTCCACTCGTCGGGGAAAGGTGTGAAGTTAGCCAAATCCATTACGGCACGTTCCAAATCATGTTTGTGCCAGAATAGCATACCCAATGCCTGTTCGCCATTATAACCGTATTTTTCTTTAGCTACTGATATATATTCTTCAACTAAAATAGAGGTAACCAAAATTTGTTTTAATTTCTTACACTTTATCCACATATAAAAATTTTAGGTGTGTTCTTAAATATTAGAATTTTAAGTTAATACAAAACTATTCTTCATAAAATTCCTACCTAAAAAACTACCATTTTTGCAACTACCAAATATGCATTCATATCTACATCTTGTAAAATATAAATTCAAAAAAAGAAAAAAAATACATAACTACATTTTTTGAATGAGACGATGAATCTTCAAACTTAGGTTTGGTTAATACCATATAAGAAAATACGTTTGTTATCTGATCACATTATTCTACTCACGTTTTGCATCTGGTATCTCTCTAGTGGGTGACCATACCAGAAGGGCTCGATCATTTAAGCCCTCTGGTTTACGTTCATTTTCAGGTATTAAAGGTGGACATACAGCCTGGTAGTCACGACCAACACGAATTTTCTCTGAAAACATATTTTAAAATTTTAATTATTTCCACGCCTTTATATTTTTTGTTTAACCTACCTTCATATTCACTTTGTTTTGCTTTGGATTTACCATTTCGCTTAATTGCTGAGAAAAAAAAGAACAGGGAATCGAATTTGGTCACCGAAGATTAAATACTATTTATAAACTTGCAACTTACAATTGTCATCATCGGAACTAGTTTCCGGAGTTCCGGTACCACCAACACCTCCACTGTTCCCAATATTTGTGCTTGCCCCTACTGTACCACCACCAGCAACGCCTCCCCCGTGCCCATTTGGACTTGGACCGCGTGATCGTCTCCCATTACGCACCAGCTCTGAATTTCTTTCAGCCAGGACCATCTTGTCTCGAATTAACTTCACACGATTTTGTTTCTCCAGTTTTGAGCTTTTGTGTAATTCTTTCCGTATCCCAAGCAATTAAATGGGATATTTCGTTCTAGAAAATATTAGTAATATACCAGGTTTACTTTTTCAAATTTTACCCACTGCATTTGCAAATTGAAATAAACTGAGTCGTTTCAGCACAGAGCAAAGAAAGTGAATAAGAAGAAGCAAAACTATTCGACAAAAAAGGCCATTCAGTGGTTTCGCCGAGTGTCATTTACCACTTTCACAGCTCACTTTTAAACAGCCGTAGATCGTAAATTCTCCAAACGCGGTGAAACAAAAGCATTCAGTTTCCCAGCTGAGCTGTTCTTTTCATAATTTCAAAAATTCAATTCTCTGCACTACTTTTCAACACAAATAAAGCACACAACAATGCAAAAGTTTTTGAAAGTTTACCTTTTCTACTCCCCTAGTGTGATAACGTTGATTTCGCCAAGACTTGGTACGTTCGCTTAGTAATTTATTAAATACTTCTTCAACACCTGTAATGCCTCCCACCGTCACACTTATATTATCTTAGATCCTACTTCTCCGGCAATAGTAGTCGAACTATTTAAAATGCGAGAGCGTCCTAAGAAACAATTGCAACAACCTCGCTTCTTGCCACAATCACAATGAATGGGCAGGTAAATTTTTCGGTCGCAGCTTTGTAAGCACATTGCTGAATTAACAGCTCACTTTTAAAAACGACCATAGTAAATGTGTACGTAATCCCGTCAATTAAACAAACGCACTCCCTCTAATTAGTAATAGTTGTCAAAATCAATACCCACACTAAGGATTTACTATAAACAAGAAGATTTTAAGTCTGTAATATTTAAATAACATTTTATTTAATTCATAAATGACATATTTTGAATTTACGATATCTTTCCGGGGTATGTTCAATGTATAATGTACGTTTACCATTCAGCAAGGCATCACTCTCCTCGCTATGTTCAGTAAGCTAATGAATTGACATTATGAATAGAGGTGTTCAACAATTAGCATTAATATTATGTAATTGAAAGTAACGAAATCAAAATTATAATAAGAATTCAATATTCGAAAGAATTAAACCTAAAACTATTTAAAGAATTTTAAGTATTATAATTTCTTTCCAAATGTTGTAGTACAAACGTGTGTCCTTACACAAGCAAGAAAAGAAATTTACAAACTGTTAATTTTTAGTAATTATTTTATAATATCATGCTAAACAAAGCAAAAATCAAATCGTTAACGAGAAAATAATCGTTGTACGATATTAAATTATACTTATTAATTTTAAGTTAAGAAAAGCTCTGTTTGTATCACAAATAAGTTAAAAATAAAATTCTCAATATAAGAAAATTTCCAAACTGTTAAACATTTATTCCAGAAATATCGAAATGTGTTGAATATTCAAAGATATTTTTCCCATTATTTAAATAAAATAGACATTAAGGTATTTTCACTGAAAAAAATGTAGAATTAAGGTACAACTTTATTAGTCTTTCATCACTGACTTGTATTTGTCACAATTATGTTGTCAAAATTTGACATTTGAAAAAGTGGTCGTAAGATATTTGGTTTTTTATTGTGATATAAATGGTGAATCGATATTTTATTAAGTAAATATTGCAATAAGTAATTAAACTTATACAAAGCGAGTTAAATTGGTATTTAAGTGGCTTGCGAATATCTGCTAGTTTTGAAGAAATGTCCTCAGAAGTTGAAACTCAAGGAGTGCAAGAGAAATCTAAGAAACCTTCAGGTGAGTCCCTAAGTAATAGAAAATTGGAAGGGAAGTATAGCGCTAAGCAATGACTAATTCTATTGATTACTTGGATCAATAATGACTTTGCAACTGTACGTACATATATATGTAGATATTTAAAATTTTGTTCATATATGAATTTAAAGATTTACCTTGACGGGAATATCTTCTCTTCCACTTCAGATTCGGCTTTTAAGCAGCAGCGGCTTCCTGCATGGCAGCCTGTGCTAACAGCTGGCACTGTATTGCCAACATTTTTCGTCATTGGAATTCTGTTCATACCTGTTGGAGTGGCGTTGCTATATTTTTCAGATGAAGTTAGCGAATTCGTTTACGACTATACCAACTGCAAAAGGTTTGGATATAACATGACCTGTGCAGAATATTTGTCTACTAATTATAATGGATCCTGCAATTGTGAAATTGAATTTGAACTCCCAAAGCAATTTACAGTAAGTATTTAAATCTAAGCTAAATGAAACATTTAGGGATTAAACTAAAGAGTTATAATACCAATTTGTATTAGTTGCGATGTAAGTATAAAGAATAATCCTCTACTGATTTTTGTATCATTTAAAGTCAATCGACATTGCGAAATCTGGGCGACTGTCTGTCCGCCTGTCAGTCTGTGCAAGCGATAACTTGATTAAAAAAGGAGGATATGTCGTTGTTGTTGTTGTAGCGGCAGAATTTTGCCGAGTTGACAGTCCTTGGCCGGAATAAATCCGGGGCCGTTCCGGTTACGTAGACCCGACTGTCGTGGGAACGGATATCATTGTCCTTGGCCTTATAGGGAAGGTGTTATTGTAGATGGGCGTAATTGCACTAAAGCCACGTCAACAAAGTGTCCTTATGCGTAAACTATGCTATAATTAAGCTCCAAATTAATATACTAAACTGTAATTGAGTAAAGGGGATTTTAGTAGTAAAGGGTCGTTTTAATTATCGTTTCCAACTTGTTTTGGTTATAGAATAGAATAGAATAGATTAATTTTGAGGTATGCACCGCGACCTAAGGTCTATTGTGCCCTCCCCTAAGTCATATTGACTCATCAAGCCCCAGCATGTTGATAAACTCCAATATTCTGCTGGGTACTAGAGAAGCGATACAATCCCTGTTTGGAAAGATAGATCCCAGGACCTTGATTCTGCGTCTGCAGACTGCTGTGCAGTTCATAAGCAGATGTTCGGGGGTTTCCGGCTCCATGTCGCAGAACCGGCAGTTTGCAGAAGAGGTTAAGCCCATGTCGAAAAGATGCCGAAATTTGATCCTCGGGAGATTAATTACGGCTTTAAACCGTTTAAGCTCGTAACCCCCCATCAGTAACCATGCATGGTGCATGCCTTGAATTTGTTGCCAATGTCTCTCCCTGCCTGCTCTTTCCTTCCTACGGTGCAGCTCTTGGTTCCGGTCCTACCATTTTTGTAGAGGCTGCAGAGCGGGCCAACTCGTCAGCCAGTTCGTTCCCGGCTATACCCCTGTGGCCGGGCACCCAAATAAGTTGTATCGGTTATAGTCGTTTCTTAGATCATATTCTTCAAGTATATCGTCAGTTCAAAGAAAATGTATTGAAATTTTAAATTAAAATTAAGAAAGTATGATAGCAGTAAATTTCCTACGAACTTTGCAATTTGAAATGATGTTTTTCATTGAGTTCTAAAATTAAACAAAAAACAAATTGCCTTAAAATGGACAAACTTCAACCGTTAATATCTTTTAAAATTTCCGTCGCGACATGGAGGTGCAAATGAATTAAGGATTTCGAAATTAAAAAAATATCGACATTTAATGGTTTTATCTCCCTTCTTAAACCTTTGGCATACGCAGGACATTTCGGACACTAAAATTTCAAATTGCTTCTTGTTAGTAATTTTCATATTCACTTCAAATAATAGCGCTCATTTCTATCTCGCTCTCAATTACTACAACGACAAGTAATAGTCATTCTATTACCATATCGTTTCAAAATGTGGAATACGAATTTATTTTCAATATAGGACCGAATGTATATTTCTCACAAACCCCTAATGCTATATCAACCAAACTTGCGAATGATTATTAAGTAAAAATCACAACTCTCAATATAACAGTTATGTTGAAAACTACTGAATTATTTTCACAACCAAGACAGCCCAGCGCGGCACCTGAAAGTGGGTGAAATCCCATATCTCAAAGTCAGTGCATTTTAATGTTACATTGATGAGCCATATCGGAATTCAACCACACCTACTTCTCATATAACACAATTTTAAATTCTATTGGGTCTTTCACTAAGTAATTTCGTTTGATAACAACAGCTGATCATATGAATTTTTTCGCAGCCAACTTCACACTTAACCGCTTTACCGTAATATACAAGTATTTGAACATCTGATATAGTGAGGCTTGTTTGTAAAAAATATTCTTAAATTTTTTGGAATAGTTTTTGTTCGGTGCTCTATCGAAGATGGAAAATCGAAAACAACATTTTCGGCATATTTATCTTTTACTATTAAAAGAGTAAAAATGCAGTTCACGCAAGGTGAAAATTATGTGATGTCCAAATTTCGTTCCGGCAATTTTGATCTTGAGGATGCCCCACGTCCTGGAAGGCATCTTAAAGCCGATGTGGATAAAATTAGTCGTTGGTGCAAATCTTCGAGTAACAACTCGAAATATTGCTAACGCGACCATTCACTTCAAAAAATCGAAATCGGATCATAACTTATCAAGCCCCTAATATGTGGAAACTCTTCTCCTGATAAAAAAAAAAGTTGTAAATGCTTCTCCCAGCCCCAATACCTAATATAAAAGTTTTAGAACTTCCGGTTGAATTTATAGAATATATACGGTTAATATGTAAGATATCTTAATAGAATCTTTGTGGTAGTCAAAATGTGTTATATTTTAATGAAATTAAGTGGGCACATTTCACAAAATTTGGCTTAACGCTGAATGTGAATGAAATCGGTCAACACCTTGATCTTAATCCCATATCCTCAATATTGTATAATGATTACTGATTATCTGCTGACCTTTTCCTGGTATACCCACAATATTAAAATTTAGCCTCTGTGGGTTGATTTTAATATAAATATTTCGGACGCTAAGTAAAATATAGTAATGAAATTAGTGTGTCTATGCCCAATAATACCTATATACCATAAGTGAATAAGATGCGAAATCTGATTGTAATCCATTGGCGTTTCATCGCAATGAATTTGTACGCATCATTTTTTAATATAAAGTTTTCTCAACACCTGAAATATTTCGGAAAAAAAATTATTAACCGATTTCAATTTAAATTTTTTTAAATTTGCTTCCAAGCCGAAAATTATGAAGTAATTGTATGATTTAATGACTTTCAGGGAAATGTTTATATGTATTACGGTCTAAGTAATTATTATCAGAATCATCGACGCTATGTAAAGTCTCGGGATGATGAACAGTTATTGGGCCGTTTGTCGTCGCGCCCATCAACAGATTGCATACCATTCGCTTATGTGGAAGAAAATGGTGGAGATATACCTATTGCACCGTGTGGAGCCATCGCCAATTCGCTTTTCAACGGTTAGTAAGGCAAAAGTATACGTCATTTTTAATACTTGCTAAAATGGATTTCTTTTTTTCATACATACATAGATACCTTATCATTAAAATTCGATGGAAAAGATGTGCCACTACTTAATACCGGCATTGCCTGGCCCTCCGATAAAAGCATTAAATTTAAGAATCCACCAGGAAATTTAACTGTGGCACTTCAACACTTTAGTAAGCCAAAGTTTTGGCAAAAAGAACTATGGCAACTGGACCCTAAAAATCCTGACAATAATGGATTCCAAGTTTGTTACAGTTCCTATTATAATAATAATAATATATCGACATATATTAACTTATAGAATGAAGATTTAATCGTTTGGATGCGCACTGCAGCTTTGCCCAGTTTTCGTAAACTTTATCGACGCGTTGACCATTCCCAACCAGGTTTTCTAAATGGTTTGAATAAGGGTCCCTATACTCTTAATATAGTTTATCGTATGTATTGAATACAAAACTAATTAAGTATATGTGATATGAGAAAATCATATTTATTAAACTTTTGTTTCGCATTTTTGCGCTTAGAATATCCTGTGACGTCATTTGATGGTTCTAAGAAAATGATTTTATCGACGACGTCTCTACTGGGTGGTAAGAATCCATTCCTTGGCATTGCATATATTGTTGTCGGGTCCATATGTCTAGTGCTTGGTGTCGCCTTGTTATTCATACATATCAAATGCAGCAAGAGGTTGGTATAAGCACACAAAACCACTGTCTAAGTGGATAATGTTAAGTTCTTATCCGTACTATTTAGTAAACTTGATAAAAGAAAGAAAAAACATAAAAGGTTTTCAGATAAAGTACAATTTATTATACATTTTGCATTTCAGTACTACGGAAATGATCAACGTCAATCCGCGCACACCCTATTCGTAATCGCAGCACAATTGAGCTGGTCTGAGGTCGCAAAAATGCTTATCTCAAATTAATTTTGATGTGCGGACGTAGTTTGAGGTTTTAAAATGTAATACATAGTTAATGCAAATGGTTTAAAGCTATGATTAGCATAACTGTAGAACATTCAAGCTTGCGGAATTTGTTAATATTTATTCATTTTTTCAGTTTCATTTGTTTTCAAACTATGTAATATTGTCTAAATTATTCTCTACACAATGTTTTTTTTTGTACTTGTTTACCTATGTAGTCTTCGCTTGAAATATTATATATTAATAAAACAATTAACGAAATAAAAGTATTGTAACGAAATAAAGTCGTGAAGAATGAAATTTATATATATAATACAATATCTTATACATTGGAAATAGCGACATTTATTTGAATTACAAAACGGCGTTTTATTTGCTCACAAAAAAAAACTCCATATAACTTTGTACGAGTGCGAGTTATATATAGAAGCTTATTTTACGATTCTCTGGTGGATAGTCCAGCTGTGAGTCGATATAAGAACTGAATCAACTTCTTGTCACTGTTTTCATTAACTAAGCTTCGAAGGTACACTATAATTTAGTAGGATATTCATATAACAGATTTCAGAAAATTCCGGCCATGAACTAATCTGCACAACAGTTATCCCGTCTCATTCGTACTGAATTTAGTAGCGGTGTTGCTAAGAGTTATATGTGCTATACAGATGGAATTAACACTCATTAATTACATTAGATTTATTTACAACCTTAGAAACTATAACGTTCTATTAATTATATAAAAAAATTATCACTTACCAACACGGATATATCGGACCTTCGGCTCTTGTACTCCTGACCACAGATTTTGAAGGACACTTTGTGGCAAAGCCTTTTGGCTTTGTGGCGCCACGCCAAGCTCATCCATTTTAGTGCCGCCTTGTTGTAAACATTATACTAAAGCGAATGTGCTGAATATCGATTTCAAAAGAAATGCCAGTACCCCAATTTCAGAGCACGACATGAGGGGGGAGCGTCAATGGTGAAGTAATGGCAGCGGAAAAAAGGACAACGTCTACCCAAACAGGCGCAGGCGCAGTAGATACCACGCTATGCATGTGGCCTAAAGTTCTGCGATAAACAGGATGAAATATTTGGTGAAAGGGTGGCAGTGTCTTCGCAGAGCACAGCTTTATATGCACGGTATATATACATTTATATATATATATATATATGCATGAGTATTTCTCGTATTGTTATTTAAATATACGCTCGGGGATTTTACGCGATGTAGTGTTTTGATTTGGACCGTGGCTACGAGCACACAGAGTGTGAAGAGCAGTAAAACAGCAGCGACAACAAACCTTCAGTGCAACATGACAAAGTGATTGAAACAATAATATAATATGAATGTATATACAAGTAACTAGTTCAATGGTTTCAATATTGTGTAATTATTAACTAAAAATTGCCTTAGCCAATAGAAGCAACAAAAACCAAAAAAAAAAATATTTTGTGAAATTATCAAGTGTTTACCGTTTGTGAGTCAGTTCAGTTTGTATAATTAGAAGGATTCATTAATCCACGTACGCAAAGATTCAAAAGCATAATTAAATATCAATATTATGTGTGTATGTGTGCAAATATGTACATTTTTATTACTATTAAAGTGAAAATGTGTTTACGGCAGATTATTTATTTACTAACATTAAAAACAAACAAATAATAATTATGTGCATTAAAAGCACATTTTAAAAGATGCCATGGCACGTTCCATTCCAGAAAAGTATGCATATATGTATATGAAAAACAGTACATACATATGTACATATAGTAGATAGCGTAAAACGGTTGTGCTATATAATACATATATCTATATGTATGTACGTTGTGCAAGGTTGAAATACAGATAATATATAGTATATAAATATAAATATGTATCATATGTATATTCAAGTATATTAGGGAGCATGCGTTGTTGTTATATACATATGTATATGAGGACATTGATACTACATATGTATGTATGTGTATATGTATTTATATATAATATTGATATATACAAATGTATGTATATTTTGGTATATAAACACATATATTTATGGATGTATGTACATATTATAAGTATGTATATGGTTATGCTTTGGTATATAAAACTTGCACGTGACCTAAAATATTTTTGTTTATGTAAATTCATCAAATGATTATATAAGCAATTATTGGATACAACTATGCAAGGTTTTAAGTAATTTACAAACAAATCAATTAAAATAATCTAATATATACATATGTATTATATAAATATATACACACTTATATATACACAATAGACCATAGGTCGCGGTGCATACCTCAAAATTAATCTATATATACATACATACGTATAAATATATGTATATGGATATATAGTAACTTGATTGTACACCCAGCTGATTGTACACCCTTCTTGTGTGCCCCATACGTATAGTTTTGGTCAAAACAGAAGAACCCCAATTGCTATATTTCTCAAAACCAGGAAAACGAAAATAAGCACTTTTTGCATTTACATATTACTAGGTTATACATACCACATATTCACTTATAATAAAACAATATACTAGTTATTATTTCTTCTTATTTGAAAAGTTATACCTAAACTAGTTTAAATTTATTAATAAAATAAATCGATCTTTAAATGAATATCAATTAAATATATTTACGTTCGTAAGAAAGTTATTAAAAAAAACTGTAAAATTACAATGAAGATGTGAAAGAAGCATTGTAGACAAATGGCAAAATATTATTATACCCTGAATGTATATTAAGTTTGATCTATTTTCCTTATTATATAACCTTAATTTGAATTTAATAATTTTTTATATCAAACAACTTTGGCAGAAAGAACTAGCAAAGATTACCGTTCAATGCAAATGGTTGTTCCGTTTTCAGAGCTAGTTATACAAATAATTGCCATTAAAAATTCACCTGCAAGGGTATCGTAGCAGTGGAAGTTAACATTTTTTCTTAGCAATAATTTATTTAAAACTAGAAAACACCGCCCACGCCTTGCTGTGGCTAAGATGTAATTAAACTATATTATATTATTCATTACGACGAATAAATACAAGTTTCCAAGTAAACAATCACAAACTTCAATGATTACGATCAAAATACGATCAAAAAAGAATTGTAATGAGATATGTGAGACGTATTGTAAATCAGCACCCTGCCTTACCCCTAATTTACCGACTGTACATAGTAGTTATAGTGTATAGCTGTGCAGGAGGAGAGCAGAAGAGGGCGCGTCGCATGTCCATCGATGGTGATTTTGGGAAAAAGGCCTCCGTTAGGACCTTTTGCAAGAATAAACGAAAAGCTGTGCAAATTTTCACATCTTTCCCTGCTGTGGTTCGGACGTTCTGCGAGTACATAACGAAATAGCGTTTCATTTTTGTATATAATAAGATTTAATGTGTACAGAAACGCGTTTGTTGAAGTGCTTTAGTTTTGGTCAATACTGTATGTATGTTTTCTTTTATCTGTTTATCTGTAAGAAAGCATATTATGCTTGATAAAACGCAAAAAAGAAATTAATATTTAATGCGGTTAACGACACACAACTTTTATGATTACATTTCGGATTTTGCCAAAATTAGCTTGTATTTGAATAAGGAATGTAGATTTTTTTAATACAATTTTCGGGATATAATTTTTGCCATCTCGGTATTGCATACCTTAATTGAACCAAAATGTATAACGTTAGAGCTTTTATATTTTAAAAATGAAATATATAATTATCAATTTAAAATAATTTTGGCCAGCTTCCAAGCAAGTCGCACAAAGAGTTTTGCGTGGTTTTGTTAACAGCCCAAAGAAACAGAAATTTCTGATAGTGCTTTCTGGTAATTTTAGTATATTATATATTAACCGATCTTTTCACCGATAATTAATATATGTATGTACCATATGTATACATAGTATTTCATGTACATATCCATATCAATAGGATCCAAAGTTTCAAATAAAAACTAAATAATGGCACTATACCAATTTGAAATGAGTAAATACCCACTACCCTGCAATTTGAGCGTATATGTTACATATTTTTATTCTAAACAGGGTATATTAAGTTTCCTACGAAATTTGCATCCCCTATAGAATATATGTATATATAAATGATCAGCATGACGAGCTGAATCCATTTAGCCATGTCCGTCTGTCTATCTTTAGGTCATTTGTTCCGGCAAAATATGGGACGGTTTTTTCCATTCACTGAAAATCGCGACATAGGTCAGAGAGCAACCCAATTTTATTCAATTCATTCTTTTTTTTAATTTCTAACCCCGGTACGCTTTACGCGGATCCGGACTGTCCCGGCCAAACCGGAACGAATGCTCAGCTAAGTCTATCTGTATATATGTGAACTAGTCCCTCAGTTTTTGAGATATCCACCTGAAATTTTGCACACGTCCTTTTCTCCCTGGTTATGAGGAGTGCATAGAACGGCAGAATAGCCTATCAAACCACAACCAAGTGCACCTTATTTGGATGCCTGGTCACGGGGGTATAGCCGGGAATGAACTGGCTGACGAGCTATTTTTCGCGTTCTACACCGTCCATTGCAAGCTCAAGAAGCATCTATTCAACATGGGCTTAGCCTTTCCTGCAAACTGCCGTTTCTGTGACATGGAGCCGAAAACCCCAGAACACCTGCTAGTGGACTCAAAGCAGTCTGTAGACGCAGGCCTTTGGATCCATGTTTCCAAACAGGGAACACATCGCTTCACTAGCACCCAGCAGAATTTCGGAATTTATCAACATGCTGGGCCTAGATGATTCGATATGACTTAGGGAAGGGCACAATAGACCATAGGTCGCGGTGCATACCTCAAAATTAGTCTATCTATCTATCTAACATATTTATTATTACACTATACAATACACGGCCAGTATAGCATAACATTCTTTTTGAAGATCTAATCTTTAATCCCTAGGTACCTTGGTAATTTAACATCAGCTTGTCTGAAAACTCTTACTCTTGTTGCACTTTTTTATACTCTTGCAACATGTTGTATAATAATTTTACATTACCTAAAACTAATCGAGATAGATATAGGGTTATATATGTATGTATATATAAATGATGAAAATGAATTTTTAAAATAGGCGTGGCCCCGCCTTCTAAGAGGTTTAATCTTCATATCTCCTATTCTGATCAAACTATTACAACCAAATTCGCTCAGGACAAATCCACCGCTGTTGACGGTGTAAAAATTGAGGAAATCGGATGATAAGTCCGCCCACTCCCTATATATCGGTTCGGCTAAAAACTATTAAAAGCGCGATAAATTAATAAATAAATGGTCCAAAACATAAAATTTTACACCTGATATCATAAGAGAAAGCTTTATAGAAGCCACTGTCAAAATTTGACGACCAGCTCAACTGATTTTTAACCAAATTCGGTAAGTAGCATTACTCTGACATTCCTATGTTGCAGTGCGATAGTGCTCATATAACAAAATTTTAAATTACATCTGATTCTTTCACTTTCCAGTATATAAATTAATCACCAATGAATGTATCGGGATAAAACTTTGCACGAATATCCAAATCGGGACAAAACTGTTCAACCCCCCAGGTACCGAATATGTGGACGCCAATCCTATTGCCAACTTTTTATCGAAAGTATCAGTCAATCTGTGGGATATATTATAGAAATTCAGAGAAAACCCTTATCTGATAATGATTGGTTTAATCGGAAGAATAATTCCCTTAGTCCCCATATACCTAATAGAAACATTTTCAAACTAAATCATATTAATTAAAATCGGATGAAAACTTGACCGGTTGACATTATTTCGCAAATATTGGTGATGGTATGTGAGGTACCTTTATGAAACTCAGAGATCATCAGAAATGTTAATAATAAGTGGTAATGGCTAAAGTAGATAAAAGCGGTTCAATACTACCTCTATTTCTCATATACCTAATATAAGTTTTTCAAACTTCCGATTAGCTTTATACCGTATATATCGGTAAATATGTAAGATATCTTAACAAAATTAACTGAATGTATAATGTTGGACATACTATAGTTTAATACCGAAAATATTTGATATTGGACTACGAATTAACCAAACCCCCATATATTACATATCATGATTTTCGTTATTCTCACAAACTCTATGCTGAATATGTCGGTCAGTGTTTGAGTTAAATATTTATAAAATTGTTTGAAAATATGTTCTTGAATATACGTGAGTAATGTTAAAAGTTAGTGAAATCAGCCCAGATCTTTAATGCTCCCAATAAACCTTATATAATAATTTCCGACTTC